AAAACGTGGCACCCAATGGGCGGCCAAATACCTCAAGGAGACATCCACCCAGGACACTCTCCAGAAGGTGCTAGACCGTGCAGGGAATGAGGGACCCGGTTTTTCCCAGGGGAGTCGCCTTCACAATCCAGGCCCATTTGCTGGCCCTAGTGGTGCTGACAGGGTTGAGGACCCCTCCCCTCAGCCTCTTCGCACCCTGGAACAGTCCTCCTCCAAAGGCAAAAGCAAAAAAGGCAGGAACAACCAGCCTGCTCTGAAAGCCGCGGACCAAGGCCCGCCGGTTACCACCCAGGTGGCACCCCGCACAAAGGCCAAACGGGCCTCGAGCCTTCCCGCGAGACCGCCTCCGGGCAGAGGGTCTGAGGTTCCCTCCCCTGCGCTGAGGGAGCCCGGGCCATCCCTCCAGGCCAACGTGAGGGCCTCTGGGATCAGCGGTAGTGGTTCCCACACCGCGCGAGAGGTCCATTTAGAGACCTCTAGGCACCACGACCGGGAAAAGGAAAAGGAAAAGGAAAAACCGGCGGAGAAAGAGCGGAATCCCGCATGCGCGTCTAGTAGTAGGGCCCCTAGACCCTCAGGCTCCAAGTCCTCCGCCCTAACCCCCTTTTTCTCAGGTCAACCCAAGGCCCCCGAGGCTTCTGTGTCTGCTGGTGTTGTTGGGGAAGGGACTGCTGCACCCACCCCGAAGCCCAAGCCGAAGCCCAAGCCTGTGAATCAACCTAAGCTCCGGCAGTTCTGGGCCCAAGGTGGGAAGCCTTAGGGAAGCCGTAGCCTTTGTAGGCTTTTTCCTTTTAGGGCCCTTTCCCCCTAGTCACCTGGGACGCTTACACCTTCCTCAGTCGCAGTTTTCCCCAAGCCTCTTAAGCGCAGTAGCTGCAGCCATGGCCCACGCGCACCTCTCGCTTCCCCAGCCTTAGCCCTCTCCCTTGGCGAGATGGGCTGGGAATGGGAAAGGAGGTGGTGCTACCACTCCTGGAGATGGGTTTGGCGAATGGTTTGGAACGGACCAGAACCGTTTGGGGCTGACTTCTGGGAGCCCCCAGCCGAGCCCTCAGCAGATCAGGCCGCCGGTCACAGCTCCTCGGGAGCTTGTGGTGATACCGGCGGCTCTGATGGTCCCACCACCGGGTGGCAGGACTGGCAAGGTTGGTGGGAAGAGTGGGACTGGACCGACCAGGCTGGCGACACCGGTGCCAGCGGGTCCAGGGACGTCCCACCCGCCTCCTCTGAAGGGCCTACGCGGGGGCAGGGCTCCACGTCCAGACCCTTTTGGAGGCCAGAACCCACGCCCCAAGAAAAGCTGACCAGGTGTGTCAGCGACTTCAAGAAGGCCACCAACCAGATGAAGAATCTGGTGGAGAAGAAGGCCAAGCTCCAGGCACGAGCGGACAAGCTCAAGCAGGAGCTGGAAAAGCTCATTGGGGACGTGGACCAGGTCGACAAGGACATCAAGGCCAAGGATGTCGAGATCCAGGAGACGGCCCAAGGAGATGACGGCGGACTCCACCAGCACCGCCTTCAGCGCCCTGGAGGCGGTCCTTTCGGAGGCCGGCCACGAGCTCAATGAAGCCACCCGCGCCAAGATGAAGGCTGCCCTGGTCGGGAAGGAGGACCTCCCTCCGGACCCCTTCATTGTGAGTTTCAGAGGGCTCGGGAGATGCCCCCCATGTACGGGCCTGCCCGCACCGATCCGCATGGGAAGCGCCCCACTCCTTTGGAAGGGACGAAGCCAGAGGGAGCTGCAGGCAGCGACAACCCCGAATAGGGGCGCCTAGGCCAGGGGAACCCTGCCTTCCCCCTGGCCCTTTCTGGGCCACGGGCCCCCAGGCAGATTTTGCAAGGGCAGCCGCCCCATCAGGCCCTTCTCCGTTCGTCATTGGAGGTTTTGCAGGCCTTATCCAGCAACCAACTTGCTCTTTTACCGAGGGGGAGTGGTCCGCCACCCTACCTTGGCCAGTTGTCACACAAGAGTAGAGTTTTTTGCAAGTTTTGCAAGAGTGATCTGCACGACCTAGGCAGCACTCACTTGTTTTGCGCGTGTTGCAAAGTCTTTCATAAAACCCCGACGGCGTTGCGTTGGGAGTCAGCGCCTGCCCGAGTTTTCAGGGCGCCCTACCAGCCTCGTCCCTTGAGGCCTGGGCCCGGTCTTTTGATTAGGGGTCGTGGGTTAACCACCCCCTTTTCTTCAACCCTGGCGTCGCAGGGAGTCCTCACGCCAACGTGTTCGGACAACCAGAGCGCCCAGGATTTCCCCAGGCTCTCTGGGCCAAAATTTTTTCCAACCGGTTGGGCCCTGGACCCTGAGCAGGAGGCCTCCGCCCCAAGTGGTACCTTGGAGGTGCTGCCAAGGGGCAATGTGGCCTCCACGGGTTCGGGGTTCACCCCACCCACAACCCCCGCCAGGCCGGTGCTGTGTTTGGCCAAGGCCCTTGACATCAGCCCGTCTCGCGGGGTTCGTAGCACGGCTCACGGCCCACGTGGGCGGCGTAAAGTGCAGCAGGACTTCCTCTGGGAGTCCACCCGAAAACATCGAGCTGCCCACCGGGCTAGGAGGCAGCAACAGGCCAATTCTCTTTTTTGGCACTCCTGGCCTCCTGGGCCTGAGCCTCCCAGCGCCAGACCGAAGGAACAGGGCCTCACTTCGCCCCCTCTGGCGACCCAGGGCGGAGGCCCCATACCCGACAAAGGGAGTGAAAGCGGCACAGAGCGGAGCCGCACACCCCCGGCTAGGCAGGAACCTGCCCCAGAACCAAGGCACAACCAGCCGAGGCCGAGGCAGAGCTGACAGACGAGGTCACAAGCCCGGCGGAGGAACTCCAAAGAACCTCCCCCAAAGGAGGCCGCGGCCTCTTCGGTGGCAAAGGAGGGGGGCCCGACCCACCGACCCTCAGCCGCACAAGGGGGCTCGACCCACCCTAGCGAGGCCCAAAGTGAACAAGCAGGCCACACGGGGAGTCCCACTCACCCAAAAAGTGAGGAGGGCCTCTCCAGGCCAACATGGCCGGTGGAAGTGGGGGACAAACCCCTGATCCTCTTCACGCCACATGTGAAGAGGTCTCACAACACTATCCATTGGCTTGCTCAGGTTGGGGACTCGCTAGCCCTAAGGGGTTTCAGCGACTGCTATGCCCTCCTTGGAATAGGGGGCAGCCGGGCAACCTTCGAATGCCCGGGAATCCCGCCTTGTGCTGGAAACTCACTTCCAGCGAGCCGGCTCCAAACCGCCGGGCTGGCCATGGGCCAGAGAGTCGCCTAGGGCAGGTGATCCCCGGCATATGCTCAGGCAAGACCCGGGAAGTGGGCCTTGGAATCCTCCAGATTGGTACATGGGGCACGGTACCTGTGACCATTCTGGAGGTGGAACGGCTAAGCCCAATGTACCAGGAACCATCCAGTGCAAGGATTTTGCACATGGCGATGGTTATCCTGGGGGTCAGTTGTGCGGGCATGCTGTGCCGCGATTTAAATCGTGGCAACTGGGGCATCAGAAAGATGTCACCAGCTTCCTGCGTGGAGGAGATCGTTGTCATCGACGCTGCAGATTGGGAGCCGCAATCTGCACCACCAGGCTTTCCTCCAAGGAGAAGGCTTGAAAGTTGGTGGAACTGGATCCACCACAGTGATCCCTCAACAGCGGACTGGTTGAGGGTGCAAGTGGAATCCCTGCACCGAGACCACCGGGCATTGGCTCGCACCTTGGTGGAGGAACTTAGCCGGAGCGATGCTGGGCAATGGGTGGTGGCCTCACTCCATGCTCAGCGCATCCTCTGCTTTTCCCCCAGGGACGAGATCTGTTTGCTCATGTCGCGAGCCAATGTTTTCACCAGCGGAGACTGGGATCTTCTCAGCCTCAAAGACCCACCTCAAGAAGGGGGCTGAGGGAGGTGGTCAAAAACCAGCAGAGCCTAGGCAGGGGGCACAAGGAGGTGAACAGCTGAGGCCATGGCCGGCTTCCTTTCCTCACCGGCACCGGGAGGCACAGGGCCAAATCCTGAGGCTGCTTCAACCTCGCCAGCAAAAGCCTGGGAGGAGGGCTAGACTAGGTCCGAAGTAGCTCCTCCGGCAACCTCCCAACGGAGATTGGGAGGAACGGGGGATAGGAGTAGGCCTAGCGGAGGACGCCTTAAACAAGGCTGCCCTCCTCCTTTTTGCTGTCAGAGTACAGCCCAGACCAAACTTGCCGCTCCGGCGGCCGCGACTCAGAGCGCAAGACCGAGAAAAGTTTGCTCCTTTTAGGTGTGCCCTTGAGTACCGACATGCTTGTTTTGCGCATGAGAAAGGGTTTCATCCTTTTTGCCTTGAACTGTTGTTTTGGAAGCTTGAACAGGCATTTGCATGGCGAACACATGTTTTAGCATGTTTGCACTTGTCTTGAAGAACGTGATGAGCGCTTACAGCACTAGAGATGCTTTTTGGGCATCCTTGAAGAAGTGCGTGTTGCTCTGACTGCACTGTTGCTGTTTTCCGCCGACCCTCGCTTCGCTCGTGCCGGTGGGAACAGGCCAAGGGACAGAGTGGCTGTGCACTGCTGTTTGAGTGAGTACAGAAGTCCTGAGAAGTGTTAGGACAGTTGCATGTCATTCCTCCTTTGTTTAGCAAAGTTGAGACGGAATTTGCTGCGCGAGACTCCGCAAGAGACCTTGCTGAACACTTCGGTGTTTGGCTCAAGCGTGGAGTGAAAAGAGACTTGCTCTGCGTTTTTCACAGGTACGGCCAGTTCCCGCGAAGCCCTTAGTTCGTCCCTACGGCCTTACCAGCAGCAACACACCGCCCCCGGCCCTGGGGCCGCAACAGCTCTGCTGACGTCGGTGAGCTTTACCGAACCCCCGCAGCTTATCATGCAGGCGCCAAGTGGCTCAGCTGAACAGGACACCTCCTTTGCAGTCCGTAGTGCCAGGAATGTTGCCAGACGGCCGGCTCTATCACGACAGAATGAGAGTCCTCAGGCCGGCCAGCCTGAAGTGCCTGTTGACAGGCCCCAAATGCAGCCCCCGGCTGACATGATCTTGGAGCTCCAAGGCTCGTGGTCTCTTCGGCTGCTGCCGGGGGTGTCGGTACTGTGTCAGTGGGAATTGGCTCAGTTCGGCTCGAGACTCAGCAGTCGCAGGCGGAAGTTCAGGCCAAGCCAACTAACGCTCCTCTGTTGCTACGGTAAGGACTATGCTTGTAATGTGACGCCTGTCACCGTCCGGCCTCCCATTGCGAAGGTGTCTCCAGCTGTCCTGGCTGCTCAGGATTTTTCGCCTGTGGCCAGCGCTTGGTTGTGGCTGGCGCGCGTCGCCAGACTCATAGCCTCTGTGGGCTGCCAAGGTCTCTATCTCCCATGGAGGACAAGCTGGTGTCGGCCTTGGCAAGCTCTGCACCATGTGAAACTGCTGCTATGGCGCCGCCAGATAGCTGCGCCGCCATTGATGGTTGCCTGCCCCTTGGCGCCCCAAATTCTCGTCTGTGGTTCCCACCCCTGTAAGCGGCAGCTGGCATACGCCATCCGCCTTTTTTCGGAGGTCCTTCTCTATTCCGTCATCTATTGAGCATGACCTGGGCTTTGTTGGCACATGTCGCTCCCCCGCCCTCCCTAGCAAGGGGGAGGGAGGCCTCTAGTTCCCCTGGCTGCCTAGGTGATCTAGCCCTGTTTCAACACTTGCCTGCCGCGGCCTGAGCATCCTTCTGGCAAGTTAGCCTGGATTGGTCATTTGTGCTTCAGTCTTGGCTCGTGGAACCCAATAGGCGCCTAGTAGGCGCGTCGAGCACGGAATAGGGTCTGGTCCAGAGGGAGGAAGGGGGTCTCTGCCTCTTCGGCTGCCGGTATTGATGCACACGACTCTGCTGGCTGGCCCTGCCCACGACGGGCCAGAGCGCGACTCGTCAATCTTCGGGAAGAGGTTCAGGAACTAGGGCTTCTAGGGCTGTAGGGTATCAGGGCTCGGGATTAGGGGATTCATGGCCTCTTTGCTGACGAGGTGGAATCCTTGATAATGCGCCATACGACATCGATGCCTTCTCACCATGCACGTGTTGTCGGCTCATGCACAGGGGTCTACGGTTGACCGATGTCGCTACGCCGAACGCCGGATGAAGGGTGGAAAGGCTCCACACAGCGGTAAGCTTGAGGGATCAGGGGACATCGGGGATTGAAGAGTGCGCAAGCTCCAAGGCCGATCATGCCAAAGGTCAACATGCAACCCACCTACTTGCTGTGCACCACGGAATGCCACGGACACCAATCACAACAGAACGAGCAACAATAGCGACAGTCAGAAGAAAAGCGGTCATGGTCGCCTTGCCTTCCAAGCATCAGAACAGGAATGACAACACGTTGGTGCTAAAAACAGTGGGTATGGACCAGTATGACCACGGTTTTTAAGACTCGCAACGCCTCCGCTGCGGCTTCATCTGACACTGCAGGTGAAGGCGTCGTTGATTCCGAAACGGCGGGCTTCGCTGCCTGTCCATTTGATTGCTCACTAACAGAAGCGGAGGGTAGATGCTTTCTTGGACATGGGTATTGACTTGCGGTCTAGAATGCTTGAGTTGATTCCCTTGCGTTGGGAATCCGACAACTGGGGGGTGTCGCTTCTGTGATGGGCCCGTCTTGGCTCAAGGCGCTTGGTCCAGATCTTGGTCCTACTTGCCACTAATTTTCCTGCACAGTCGCACTTGCCCATCAAGTCGGAGGGAAGGATGTTCTTCGTCGCCGTGGCCGCTCTGAGCTTGCTTCCTTGGCCGGTGGCAGGGAAGATGGCCGTCGTCCGCGTCTTCGCGACCAGTGAGGAGGTCGCTGTTTGTGGTTTGTTTTGGGCTTATGGTTCGAGCTTTGCCGTGTTTGACTTGATTTTCATATTGGGCCTTGTTGCTGCCGAAGGGGCCATCGTAGTTTTTCAGGCTTGGGGGGTTTCAATCCTCGAGCCCTTCAGAACTTCAAAGTCTTGGCTGTAAACAACTCCAAGAGTGCCGAATTCAGGTCACGTACCTGACGCAGTCCTACACGGAGTGGGAGTCGACGATGCCATGCGCAAACCCTGGCCAGAGCAGCAATGTAGACCTGATCTTGGTTTACAGCAAGGACCTCGCCACGGACGGCATTGCCACGGCCGCAGTCCAGTCCTATGAGTCAGGCTTTGCACAGAATGAGCACTGGACCGGTTGCTTCGGAGGCATCAAGAATTTCTCCGCCAAGCTTAGCCCAGAGGAAGACCACTACGATGATCAGGGCTATGCAACGAACAGGCACTGGGTCTCAGGCCCCAACATGATCTTTAAGCACATCGTGGAGGCCATGTTCACTGGTGCCTTTGCCGGTGAGTACGACAGCTTCTTCTGGATGGAGATGGATGCTGTTCCTGTGATGGCAAACTGGCTGGACAAGTTTGTGGAAGAGGCTGCAGAGATGCCTGCCATGAACATGGCCATCCGCGGCAGCCCCTAGTATGGAGCCAACTGGCTCATGTTCTCACACATGATGCCATCCTATCTGCTGAACCACATCAACGGCAATGCCATCTACAACCTGCAGCACCCGTGGACGAAGTTCCTGTTCGACACGTTCACTGCAGAAGGCAATGCCAACTTGATGGAGGAGATGGCCTTCGACACCGCCTACTCTGCTATCACCGCAGCTGCCATGGAGGGCTCCAACAGCATGCTCGCAGCAGCATGGGCAGCCAGCAACGGCACGGCCATGACCTACAGCTCTGACACCGAGCTGATCCGCAACTTCGCCAACACCTTGCTGAACAGCAGCCACGAGATTGGGGGGTACATTCGCCACGGCTCGAGGAAGAACGTTTTCGAGAGCCTGGCGGGCGACATGGTCACGCTTGGTGTTCTCGGCCTCGATGGTGAGAACGACCGCATGCTGAGCAGCATGTCGACCAACCACCCGTTCAAGAAAGTTCTCATGCTGACGCACTACCCAGTGACGATGTCCACCCAGACCATCGAGGCGCCAGGCGGCGATGTGACACTGACCATCGAGAAAGCTGACCAAGGCCCACTCATGCACATGTGCGAGGTCGCAGACAAGGTGACGACACCATGGTCCGCCTTGGCATCCAACCTGCACCACATCAATGCGCCGGTGAGTGTGCTCATGAGCATGGGCGAGCCAGTGATGCCGTATGTCCTGGCTACTTCGCCCTATTGCACCAGTCGGCCTGACTGCAAAGCGGCGTTGGATCAGGCGGAGGAGCTCTTTGGCATCTCGCTGAACTACCACCATGACCTGAACGAGGTGCTCTTTAAGACTTCCGACGTGACGAGCTTCTGTGCTGCCTGGATGACTGCCGCCGGCAACAGGACTGTCGAGACTTGCGACTTGGTCTTCGGGCCCACGGCGGACGACTTCGTGGCTTGGAAATTTGCCATGGGCATGAACATCACGGGTGTGCCAAGGGACAAGACACGCTATGGCTGGAGACCTTGGACGACCCTTTGGGCTCCGATGCCTGTGGATGAAAGAAGCTGCTCCACCCCAGTGTACGGTGAAACGGAGTACATGGAGTCACTCGCCTTCATCTCCAATTGCAGCCTCTACGTGGAGAATGCCTCTGCCTGCGATGCTGATGCCATGTGTCATTGGAAGCCCATGTTCGAGACGGGCATTTGTGCCATGCAGTCGACGGGCACCAACATGGTCGTGAACGTCACGGTGCCGCCAGCCGCAACCACTGAAGAGCCCACAGATGAGCTTCTCTCTAATGCTTATGGGACTGTGTCCGTTCTCGGTGCAGTTTTGGCTCTGTGCAGGGCAATTGCCTGAGCATAGATAAGCTATGATAAGCCCATTTCCATCAGAGCGCTGCTCTAGGCAGTCGCTAGATTTACCTTGCTCTTGAACAACCCGGCAAAACTGCTGAATGCAGATGTGTGATGACACAGGTGCAAAGCACTGGGTCCTGATGAGAAGAAAAAAAGCTTTGGCTCGATCAGTGCAGCACCGCGCATGACCACACATCCAAATGCGCGAAACTCCTGATCCCATGCCAGGTACAGGTACTTCCACTGGAGGGGTCGCTTCTGTGATGAGCCCGTCTTGGCTCAAGGCGCTTGGTCCAGATCTTGGTCCTACTTGCCACTAATTTTCCTGCACGGTCGCACTTGCCCATCAAGTCGGAGGGAAGGATGTTCTGCTTCGTGGTGGCCGCTCTTAGCTTGCTTCCTTGGCCGGTGGCAGGGAAGATGGCCGTCGTCCGCGTCTTCGCGACCAGTGAGGAGGTCGCTGTTTGTGGTTTGTTTTGGGCTTATGGTTCGAGCTTTGCCGTGTTTGACTTGATTTTCATATTGGGCCTTGTTGCTGCCGAAGGGGCCATCGTAGTTTTTCAGGCTTGGGGGGTTTCAATCCTCGAGCCCTTCAGAACTTCAAAGTCTTGGCTGTAAACAACTCCAAGAGTGCCGAATTCAGGTCACGTACCTGACGCAGTCCTACACGGAGTGGGAGTCGACGATGCCATGCGCAAACCCTGGCCAGAGCAGCAATGTAGACCTGATCTTGGTTTACAGCAAGGACCTCGCCACGGACGGCATTGCCACGCCCAGTCCTATGAGTCAGGCTTTGCACAGAATGAGCACTGGACCGGTTGCTTCGGAGGCATCAAGAATTTCTCCGCCAAGCTTAGCCCAGAGGAAGACCAGTACGATGATCAGGGCTATGCAACGAACAGGCACTGGGTCTCAGGCCCCAACATGATCTTTAAGCACATCGTGGAGGCCATGTTCACTGGTGCCTTTGCCGGTGAGTACGACAGCTTCTTCTGGATGGAGATGGATGCTGTTCCTGTGATGGCAAACTGGCTGGACAAGTTTGTGGAAGAGGCTGCAGAGATGCCTGCCATGAACATGGCCATCCGCGGCAGCCCCTATTATGGAGCCAACTGGCTCATGTTCTCACACATGATGCCATCCTATCTGCTGAACCACATCAACGGCAATGCCATCTACAACCTGCAGCACCCGTGGACGAAGTTCCTGTTCGACACGTTCACTGCAGAAGGCAATGCCAACTTGATGGAGGAGATGGCCTTCGACACCGCCTACTCTGCTATCACCGCAGCTGCCATGGAGGGCTCCAACAGCATGCTCGCAGCAGCATGGGCAGCCAGCAACGGCACGGCCATGACCTACAGCTCTGACACCGAGCTGATCCGCAACTTCGCCAACACCTTGCTGAACAGCAGCCACGAGATTGGGGGGTACATTCGCCACGGCTCGAGGAAGAACGTTTTCGAGAGCCTGGCGGGCGACATGGTCACGCTTGGTGTTCTCGGCCTCGATGGTGAGAACGACCGCATGCTGAGCAGCATGTCGACCAACCACCCGTTCAAGAAAGTTCTCATGCTGACGCACTACCCAGTGACGATGTCCACCCAGACCATCGAGGCGCCAGGCGGCGATGTGACACTGACCATCGAGAAAGCTGACCAAGGCCCACTCATGCACATGTGCGAGGTGGCAGACAAGGTGACGACACCATGGTTCGCCTTGGCATCCAACCTGCACCACATCAATGCGCCGGTGAGTGTGCTCATGAGCATGGGCGAGCCAGTGATGCCGTATGTCCTGGCTACTTCGCCCTATTGCACCAGTCGGCCTGACTGCAAAGCGGCGTTGGATCAGGCGGAGGAGCTCTTTGGCATCTCGCTGAACTACCACCATGACCTGAACGAGGTGCTCTTTAAAACTTCCGACGTGACGAGCTTCTGTGCTGCCTGGATGACTGCCGCCGGCAACAGGACTGTCGAGACTTGCGACTTGGTCTTCGGGCCCACGGCGGACGACTTCGTGGCTTGGAAATTTGCCATGGGCATGAACATCACGGGTGTGCCAAGGGACAAGACACGCTATGGCTGGAGACCTTGGACGACCCTTTGGGCTCCGATGCCTGTGGATGAAAGAAGCTGCTCCACCCCAGTGTACGGTGAAACGGAGTACATGGAGTCACTCGCCTTCATCTCCAATTGCAGCCTCTACGTGGAGAATGCCTCTGCCTGCGATGCTGATGCCATGTGTCATTGGAAGCCCATGTTCGAGACGGGCATTTGTGCCATGCAGTCGACGGGCACCAACATGGTCGTGAACGTCACGGTGCCGCCAGCCGCAACCACTGAAGAGCCCACAGATGAGCTTCTCTCTAATGCTTATGGGACTGTGTCCGTTTTCGGTACAGTTTTGGCTCTGTGCAGGGCAATTGCCTGAGCATAGATAAGCTATGATAAGCCCATTTCCATCAGAGCGCTGCTCTAGGCAGTCGCTTGATTTACCTTGCTCTTAAACATCCCAGCAGAACTGCTGAATGCAGATGTGTGTTGACACAGATGCAAAGCAAATTTCCATGTTAGCAGGATTGTGCACTGGGATCTGATGAGAAGAACAGGACGCTTTGGCTCAGTGCAGCAAGCCGCGAATGACCACACATCCAAATGCACGAAACACCTGATCCCATGCCTGTTCGATCCTCATGACGAGGCCTTTGGACAGCCAGAGTTGGCCTTTTTCTGCGCGTCATGGGCGCAAGCCTTAGAGTCTGTCAAGGTCCGAGAGCTAAAGCTATAACGATACGGGTGACGTCGATGAGAACGTTCATGATGGTGACGATGGCTTCCTGCTAAATGCAAAGCCCCGAGCCCTAGTGGGCAATGCTGTGCAAGACCTGCCGCGCAGGCATTTATTATAAGATTCCACGAAAATATGGTGAAGCTAAATACAACATGGCTTGACACTGCCGAAAATCTTGCAGCCAGCTACGAAATGCCCTCCCTGAATCTCTCCCTCCTTCTTTCCTTCCTCGATTCTCTTAGAGTCTTAGAGTTGGGCGCCGACACCCACGCAGTCACCATGCTCACTTGCAGAAGGTTGTAGACTGCAGCGAGAACCACGGGTCGCTGCGTCGTGCTAGAAGAACTGATGCCGTCTTCTGCGCCGTTGGCACGCTACCAGGAGCCTGCCAGCGACGACGGCCGATTCGGGAACACTTACCTTCGCTGGACTCTCCTTCACACCTTGATCGTGATTACACTGTGCTCCATGCCTGTGTGGTCGCATTTTGCCTTTCCAAACCAGGTCGCCTACATCAATCTAGGTGGAATGGTCTTCTTCAGCATGATTTGGGTAATGATCGCTGGAAATGCCATTTTGAACTATGTCCGGATGACGAGAAGCAAGATCCCGGCAAATCTGCCACATTCTGCTGTGGTCGGGTCACAAGACGAATGTGGTCGCCGGTTTGGGCACATTGTCATCGTGCCATGTTACCTTGACCCCATCAACGTGCTGTTCGACTGCCTTGGTTCGCTCCTGTCGCAAAGGCACCCAGATAGGTTGGTCGTCGTTGTTGCATTTGAGAAGAAGACCCCCGATCTGCAGCAGAAAATCGAGACTGTGAGGACGGCCTTTCGGGGCCGCTTCGGCGAGTTGGTGTTCACCGTGCACACGATTCAGTGGGCCACGGAGATCCCAGGGGGATGCTCCAACAAGAACTTTGCCTTGCACACCGCCCAGCAGCATGTCTCGATGGATCCCAGATATCACGAGACTTCCTATACAGTCACTACTTGCGATACCGACACCTTGTTCAGCCCACATTATTTCGAGGTGCTTGAGAACGCGTACAATGAAGAGAACCCCCCTGGCTCGAGTCAACCGGTGAAGCTTTGCGTTTGGCAGGGTCCCCTGTTTTACAACTGGTGCCCTGAGCAGCAACTAGACACCCCCTCCCCTACCGGGAGACCCGAAGCCCACTTCAGTTTAGGGTTTAGGGTTTAGGGTTTTGGGTTTTGAGATGTTCTTTTCTAGGTTGAAGTGCCCTTTACCAGGAACTTGGACCAGCGACCCTTCTTCAACCGCATCACGGGCATCATGCGCTCGCTGATGATGCTAGGGGGTTTGATCTCCTTCAACCTGTTTCTGGGTTGTCCTTTGGGATCTTTTTTTATTTTCCCCTTACTATTTGTAGAGAAGCATAATAGTAAATCGTTTTCAAAGGGCTTAAAGGACAACTCAGGAACCCCATGTCCGTCTTCTCCTATCCCTTGGAGTTGGGCCTGATCTCGGGTTTCATCAACCCACGGTACAGCGTGGACGATGCTAGGCCTTTCGGAGATTTTGTAGTGTCCCTTTGTGGGGCTTAAGAGGATCTTAGTTACGAATATTGATCGAAGGCTTGAAAGGGCTTTTAAGCCCCAAGACCCTTAAACCCTGAAGAATTCCGAAGAAGAGAAGGCTTGAAAGGGCCAACCCGGAGAAGTTTACCATAACTTCGGGTTCCTTGTTCAGCCCATACAAGTCATGTACTAATACACGCCCCAGCTCTATTCTAACATATTCTAACTCTTTTTCAAAGGTTTCCCAGGGGAAGCCTAGGATATCATCTTCCTCGTTCGTGTGATGTGCAGCGCCCAGCAGGGGATACCAGTGAAGCTGCTGAGAGCCCCGGTGATCTCGGGGCCTACCATCGGGACTACCTGGTGGGAGGAGGTGGATGAGTGGGCGAGACAGATTCGGCGCTGGATCATCGGATCCTCTGAGAGTTTCCACTACTTCCTGATGCACTATCGTGGCCGTCCCTTCTTGGCGGGGCTCCGGTGGTTTGTGATGTTCTTCGTCTACTATGCCATTCTTCTGTGTTGCGCAGGTCTCTTCACGGCGGCGGCTGCAATTCCGCTCCCTGGCACGGTCTGGCCGCACCCCTGGCTTCGATACGCTGGAGTTGCTGCGCTGGCGATGCAGTATGTGGTTTTCGGCATCGCCTTTGGGATCGATCGGCGTGCCGTCAGCTACATGACAGTGAAGGAGAACGTGAGTTGCTGTCGTAATTTGCTCCACTGGCTGGTCGCACCGCTTGTGCTGCTGGTCTACAGCGTGGTGGCCTTCTATGCCGTGGTGAAGTTCGCATTCCGAGGCAAGAAGGATGCAGGGCATGTCATGGCAGCCAAGGAGGGCTTTCAGGCCGTCACGGCCGTGCTCGATCAGCCATCCGTGCCTTCCGGCGAAAGCACCGAAGCTGTTGAGAGCTTCCACAGCCACTGTGAGCAAGTCGGCCGGCAAAATCCTTTGGACCGGCGTTGCGCAGGCTTGAGCACCTGCACCGCGCCACCTTTGAGCTACGCCTCCTTGTCTTACCAGGCCAACCATGAAACAACACTGTCGTTTGAAGTCCGCCAGCGCCCCATGTCGTTTCCCATCCACGGAGGTCCAAACCTGGGCAGTGACGGAGTCAACCGCAGCGAGGGCGAGGGCAACGAGGGCAACGAGGGCAAAGACTTGCAAGTCGCTGACATGAACTTGCCCGAAGACGTCAAGTTGCTGTGCCACCTTCCAGACAGCTTCTACTTTGGCACCATGAGCTTCCCAACGGCACGCGAGAGTCAGGAGACAGCAGGCCTGCCAACGTCTCCCCCGCGAACGCATCTCTATGGACTGTGACTGCGGACGTCAAGCTTCAGGCACGGAAGTTTTTAAGCCAAAGAGCCACGCAGGAGCAGAGGGAAGCCGAGCCAAGCCGGCCACTTCCTGCACTCGAGATTGTGGGAACACTGAAATAGTGAAATTTGATAGAAGACGGGAGAGACTCCCACAACGCCTATGCCTCGCCTTGAACCCTGAAACCTCTAAGATTCTAACTTGTTCCTCACCATGTATAGCGCCTCGGTCCGAAGCTTGCTTGGAGCTTCGGACAGGCGGAAGCCAGGCAATGCCAGGCCGAGGGTCCCACGGAAGCTCTGAAAAGCCGCGCAAGAGAAAACCAGCGGAACGCTTTCACTTCACATGCTCACATGGCGTCTGACGCCGCAAGCGCACGTGGTTCTAAGTTCACGATACTTCTTAATCTATATAGTCTTCCTTGCTGCGGCACTGCGGCAGAAGCCGGGGGGGGAGCAGGAAGATCCTATCACCCGCAACTGCGAAATCTCTACACCCTGGCCCCAGAGATGTCTCTGTCCCATACAGACGGAATTTACTGCTAAATTAGTCACTAAAAGCAACCCCTGAAGGACACTCTCAAAGGAACTACTACTACTACTGCTACTACTACTACTACTACTACTACTACTACTGCTCTTGAAGGACCCTGAATCCGAAGACTTCTTCCCTGAGGCAACTTCCTGCGGGCCTAGCCGTGCGGGACTTGCCGCGCAGTCGGTGGCAGTGCAAGAGCCCAATGCCCCTGAACAATGAGGGTTTAGGGTTTAGGGGTTTAGGGGTTTAGGATTTAGGGTTTGGGGTTTAGGGGGCTGTTTAGTCGGGTTCTTCCTAAATGTTCGGGTATTGGGCTGTCTGAGTATTTTCACGCGGCAAAAGAACTGACAGTTCTTGCAGGAGAAAGGAAGTCATTGCCAAAGCCGTTGCAGCGTTGGGCTCGGGGCTGCCTGTTGTTGAGTGACGTAAGGGATCAAGCTTGGCTGCGCGATGCTCAGTATTCGGCACATCTAGAGACAGGATCGGACCTGAGCTTGGAGTTCTTGGAGTCTGTTCGCAAGAACCCCCAAGTCCCTTCAGCCCCAAGTACGGCTTGTGTTTTGAGCCAAAATCCTAAACAGTAACCTTCCCGTGTCAGCATTGCACGTCGGTGTCAAGGCTAGGGCCCAGCGTAGGATGCTCCATACCATCGCAGAAAAAGCCACTGCTTTTGTTTGGACTGTCTATCCGAACGGCGTGACGGGCTCGAGCTAAACAACGGCGAGTCTGCACGGTTGTGCCTTGTTGTTGCAGTTGTCCGAGCATGGCTGTGAAGCAGGTCGGGCCCAAAAATTCAAGATACTTTTGTGTTTGAGGCTGTTGGGATTCAGGGTGTGGTGTGGAAATCGGAGAAGATGTGCATGTGTTGGACGCGGGTTTTCTTTGCAGCTTCAGGTATTTCACTGCACTGCAAAGGCTGCAACGTTAGACCTCATGTTGATTGCTGAACTTTCCACCTTCCCTTGCTGGCGGTCACGGTCCAGCAAGCCTCTCGCAGGTTACAGCCGCACAAGTAGCGAGCCGTTAATTCGACCACTTCGGGCACCTGGAACCCTAAAGACTCCAAGCTCCAACCCTGAATGCAACAGCCGTACATCCCCAAACTCTGACACCTGGGGCCTACAGCCTGAACTCCTCGATGGCGAACGCCAAATCTGAATCCTGCTTACGGACGCAGGTGCACGGCTTTGGGTCTCCCCAAACCTGGGCATCGAGGCAGAGACAACGACGGGTGACATGAA